CTATTAACAAATCGGCGCAGCAGTCCGGTGTAGGAGGAATTGTTTGCCGTGTATCGTTCTACCTCCCGCCCCCCCCGCGTGAATCCCCTTTGCCCCCTTGCCCCTTGCCCCTTGCCCCGACCCCCTCATCATTCTGCATGCCATAATGCAGTATATGTATGTTCGTAAGTTTCTCCTGATTTGTAGTCTCATTGTGGAACATCTGTTTTGGATTTATTTGCGAACGTTTCTTTTCTGCTTTCAGTATAATACGAAACGTGCAGAGGCGTCAAAGTGCTGGTTATACGACAGTCAAAGTATACATTGCCGCTTCGCTACGAACAAGACACACACGAGTGTTCATATACTATGTATAACCATACCGCGGGGACATTATTAGACCGCGCGTGTACCTCATCTACCATCCGCGCGTTCACGATAGCGGATTAGGACGACGCGGGGGCGATATTTTGCGTAACGACGTGGGGGCGATACTTTGCGAGACGACAAGAGGGATCGGCGCGATGTGCGCGCTCCGGCAGAAGCTCTGCGTGCATTATGTAACGACGTAATATCGTGCAACCTCGGCAATCTCGGTCCGCACACACACACACACACACACACACACACACACACACACACACACGCACACACACATACACACACACACACACACACACACACACGCATACACACACTTTTCCGACGACACACTGATCGCTCGCTCGTTGAGCGTTCTCGCATAATACGAGGGGTGCAGGCATCTCGATCGAGTTCTCGTTCGTCAGGCACTCTCTCTCGCGTCTCAGCCTAGGAGAAAACTTAAATTCCAAACCAAATCCGAGAGAGCCTCGAGATGGAGGACGCTTTTCTTCGCTTACATTCACACATACTTCCATTATCGCTCTGCGTGATCGTTTACGTTGACTAATTAAAAATTGTAGATCTCTGTCTATCTATCCATCTATCTCTCTGTCTCTCTCTCTCTCTCTCTCTCTCTCTCTCTCTCTCTCTATCTCTACTTTAGCTTCCTTTCCTTCACACTGCTTGGATTAGGTACACGACACACATACAACATACACATACTCTCTCTCTCTCTCTCTCTCTCTCTCTCTCTCTCTCTCTCTCTCTCTCTCTCTCTCTCTCTCTCTCTCTCTCTCTCTCTCTCTCTCTTTTTCTCTCTCTCTCGTGACATCGCCCCAGGAACTCGCTGGATCTTTTCCCGAGTCTCGTTCATCATTAGAGCTTATTTTTCTGACGATGTACCTGTGCGTGCATGCGTGCGTGCGTGCGTGATGCGTGGGTGTACACAGCGGCTACTCGAGATGTCGTGATGTGGCAGCATGTTTCAGGAGTATAAGCTCTATATATGGATATCTGATGGATGGATCACGTCGATACACATTTTCTCCGTCATCTTTCTTTCTCTGTCTCTCCTTCTGTGTCATTCTCTCTTTTTCTTTCTTTCTCTCTCTCTCTCTCTCTCTCTCTCTCTCTCTCTCTCTCTCTCTCTCTCTCTCTCTCTCTCTCTCTCTCTCTCTCTGTGCAATATATACATATGACAGTTTTCCATCCTGTGTGTATCTCTACACTGTCTTTCGACTTAGTTGACGCTGCGTATATAATCCTACATAACGACAAGTTGGTAGACACTCACGTACCGCTTCGTTTTTCTACGGATATATTATCGTATACACGTTATTATTATTATTATTATTATCATCATCAGTATTATTATTATTATTATTATTATTATTATTATTATTATTATATACGTATAATGCGCTATCGACACTGGCCTTTGTAGTAGTTTAAAGGAAAAGACGGGCCAATTCCACAATCTAGACACACGCGCCTAGCGACGTAACGTCCGCAAAAGGTCGCGGCCGAGACTCACGAACGGAGGAGGATCCGTCCGGCCGCGCGCGACGAAAGTTCTCGAAAAGGCCGATGTACATATATACGTATAGTTGGCGCATCGTCGTCGTCGTCGTCGTCGTCGTCGTCATCGTCGTCGTTGTTGTTGTTGTTATTGTTGCAGTTGTTGTTGTTGTTGTTGTTGTTATTGTTGCTGCTGCTGCTACTACTACTACCGCTGCTGCCGCTGCTGCTGTTCTCGCTGGCGCTGTTAATTTTTTGGTACAGTTGACCGTAACGATTACGACGACTCTCGATACTTATACTTTCGCAGCATGAGTGGTGTAAGAGGCATGCCGCGCATGAATGTGATCTCTCTCTCTCTCTCTCTCTCTAGTTGCGTAGGACCGAGGGGCAGCGTCTCCTCGGCCGTATCTCTCCGGTCCGGGAGGACCGGGAGGATCGAGCGGACGTTTCTCGCGGGCGTTTCGCTCCGGGAAGGAAGAGGGCGAAAGAAGGGAAAAATTCACGAGGATGCGAGGGCGGAATCTTTCGCGTGTAATTGATCCGTGTAGTCGACGCACACCGGCGGAAAGACGGGTGGTACTCGAGTGCTCCTCGTGTATTATCACACAGCGCACAGGACGAATCGATACGGGCTTCCCTAACACGACTGAAAAATGCCGCGGGAAAGGATATCTGGAAGATAAACACTGTTTATCCGCTGGGCACTGACGACACGTTTACACAAATCGAAAGTCTTTGGAGTCTTGGGACGGACAGTCGCTTTTTTACACGGGCATCTACGGTTCCAGGAAAATGTACTCCAGAAGGATGTTCTCATTGGAGGAAAGTTTCTTCTCGGTCTGCAGATGCTACGAACGCATCGCAGCACCCAAGTAAATATGTCGCCAGTACCCGTCGAATAAATCTTTTACGTCTTTTGGATACTTTTTCTCTTTCTCTCTCTCTCTTTCTCTCGGTATGTAACATGACAGTATCGCATTATTTCGCACCCCGGAGGGGGTTAAGGTGCGTTCCCTCGGGGAAATCTCCGCGATGAACGAGCGATGGCGTATCTCGAAATTACCGTTCCGCAAGTGGCAGCAAACGGAGCCGACGACGCACCCTTGCTCGCGCCAATATGGAGCAATCATCCCCCGATCCTCTCGGCACGATTGACCTTCTTTCTGGCCAGTTTCTACAGGTGCGCTTGAGGTTGCATGGGATTAGCTCGAGGAGACCGTCGAGAGTAGTGGCTACAAAGAAGGCGCTTTCCTATTGTATTACGCGCTGCAGCCGTAATTATTAACGTCACCGTTTCGGGAATCATCGTCGACGCGACGCGACGCGCGACGCACCGCCGAGGAGCAGCCCCGTCGTCCGCCCGCCTCGACCGCTAGCTGCACCTCCGCCGCATTTCCGGGCAACGACGAAAGACACGGGAGATTGTCGCGGGAGTAATCGCTTTCTCGAGCCCGTCACGACGAATTAATCCGACCGAGGCGGCGGCTGGCAATGAGCGCCGACCAGCCGCGCTCGCTCGGCATTCTTCCTCCTCGTCCGCGAGACAGCAGTAGAAAAGCTTGCTTGCCGTCTTACGAGATACAATACATGCGTACACACACCTTCATGTATACACACACATATATACATACATGGGGCTTCGGTATTCATTTGAAACTGACACCATCCGGATGGCCAGTTATTCGGACAGACAGCAAATCAACACTGCAAAGTCTCGAGTTGTCCGAGGAGATATCGGCTCCAAATTATACAAAATTATCGGATCTCAATTAAATGAGATATACAGGGTGCTAAATTTCAAACGTAACAGGTAAAAAATCTCGGAAACTATGAAAGATATTAGAAAAAGCTGAAACACGTGTTCCATGATTCCGAAGGGGAAAGAGAATGGGAAAGAGAATTATCAGTTTATTATTTGGAGGGCATTTTCAAGGTTTTCAGTTGAAGGTCAACTTAACTTTTTAAAATAGAAAGCCCAATCTTTTATTATGTCTTCTTTCTCTGCCAATTAATTTTAGCAACTTTTGTCTGAAACATTTTTTTATTATATTTGCCTAATAATTTTTGAAATATTTCAGGAAAACTTGGTAACTTTTTCAACATTTCACTTACGATATCTCGCTAACTATTCGTCGAAAGAAAAAATACTATTAGACTTTTTTACTTTATTCATTATCAAGAATATATTACTATAATAGTGCCCTAACTTTTGTTAACCTATCGACCTTTGGAAATTTCAAAATTATTAAATTAACAAAAGTTACGGCACTATTATAGTAATATATTCTCGATAGTAAATAAAGTAAAAAGGTCTAACTTTAAAATTTTTTCTTTTGACGAATAGTTAGCGAGATCGTTAGAGATATCGTAAGTTAAATGTTGAAAAGGTTACCAAGTTTTCCTGAAATATTTCAAAGAATATCAAGCAAATGAAAAAATGTTTCAGACAAAAGTTGTCAAAATTAATTGGTTGAAAAGGAAGAAATAATAAGAAATTGGGCTTTCTATTTAAAAAAATTAAGTTGACCTTCAACTGACCTTGAAAATGCCCTCCAAATAAAAAACTGATAACGCCATTCTCTTTCCCCTTCGAGATCATGGAACACCTGTTTTAGCTTTTTTTAATATCTTTCATAGTTTTCGAGATTTTTACCCGTTTTACGTTTGAAATTTAGCACCCTGTATATAATCGTATGAAATTTTTCCGAGAATATCGATTTGACAATCGATACACATCAATATTTTTCAACTGTCAACGGCTCCATCCTGGGACTGGTTGTGCTCGCTTTTTTTAATAATCTTTTTATAAAACCAACTCGCTTTTTATTTACTTGCTCTGTTTTTTATATAATTCGAATATAAAATCGGAGATACCAATTCAGAGGCCCGCGAATGGTGCGGTTCCGAGTTTTCGGCTTGAAGCCGATCTCGGAAAGCCGCGAAGTCAAATAATCGAATGCTCGGGAGCCCTTATGCGCACACTCCACTTATGCACACATATACACACAGCTACATACGTATCTGTACGTGTTTAGCGCGATGTGCTACCGGAAGTAGTTTGATGACGAGAGTAAGACGACGTGAGCGCGCGCGCGCCTCGAGCGAGGGACGCGTCGAGACTAACGTGCACCCCACAGTTGTGTTTGCAGCTGGATCCGAGCGCTCTTCCGTCGCTCCCGCTCAGCCGGAGAGACCACCGCCCCCGCTTCCCCCGCCACGCTTTCCGAACAGCGGTGTCTGACAATGGGAAACAGCTCCTCTTAATATCGGTAACCTAGTGATCATGAACGCGCCGATACCGCTGCCGCTGCTGCTCACCACCAGCAGCCTCAGCCTGGAGAACCAGCTTTACGAGATCATCACCGAGAGCAGCAAGGCGTGCGCGACCTTCCTGCGGAACAGCCTGCGCCGCGCGACCAGCCTCGGCTGGAGCGCGAACGAGAGCTTCGAGAGGACGAGCGACGCGATGATGTGCAACGAGCAGTGAGACGAGAGGGCGAGAACGGCCTTCGGGGAGGAGCCTGAGGCGACCGGGCGACTCGGTACCGGCGCCGATGCCAAGCGGAGCTCCGTCGCGGCAGTTGACCCTTGACCGGCGAGAACGGCCGTCCTTCGCTGGTCTGTCTCAATCTGTCTGTCCGTCTGTCTGTCTGTCTGTCTGTCTGTCTGTCTGTCTGTCTGTCCGTCTGTCCGTCTGTCCGTCTCTCTGTCTTGCTCGCGAGACGAATCAGTTGGACGAGGAGAGTCAATCGTCGGGGGTCAATCGGTGGGGATGATCATCGGGGCCCGAGAAGAGCGATAAACCAGGGACGTTGAGAGTCGTCGCAGGCTTCTAGATCGTCGTCGACGGGGGACAGTAAGAACGAAGGACGGTAGCACGATGACCCTCTGAGCTGAACTCGATCGAGCCTGACGAGCTCGAGGCGGCGACGGTGAAGCTTGCACGTCGCAGAGGGGATGCTCAGATCGCCGGCTGATCCCGGAGGAGACGTCGAGAGGGTGTCGAAGCGACGACGACGGCGACGACGACGACGGCGACGAAGACTACGACTACGGCGATAGCAACGAGGCGAAGCGACCCTCCTGCCGGGAGCGGAAGATCCCCCCCGGCCGATCTCCTCCCTGAGCGGGAGGAGACACCGCGCGGCGGGTTAACGAAAGAGAGGACGATGACACGCACGCGTGCAAAACGCGCGCACTGATCGACCGGGTCGGTAGATTAACCGAAAATGCTGCGAAAGTGATTTGTGCCTAGTAACGAGTATGCTTGGAGAATAGAGGAGGAGGAGGAGGAGGAGGAGGAGGAGGAAGAGAGGAACAAGGAGAGAGAGAGAGAGAGAGAGAGAGAAAGGGGATAAGAGGACGCGCGAAGAAGAATTGCAATTGCCGCAATCGCGATCGCGCGCACGTCACGAGAGTACCCGAGGGAGAAAGAAAGAAAGAGAGAATGAGGGAGGGAGGGAGGGAGGGAGGGAGAGAGAAAAGAAATCGGAGACGAAACGAAGAAAAGGACTCGCGGTCGGCGCGACGTCGAAGGATATCGAAACGTGAATCGCGACGGGGGGCGCGAGCAACCCCCTGTCGCGGCCACCCCCCTTCGTCCTCGAGCGAAGGCACGTGTGTGTACCTATATATATACATTCACTTTTATATCATTGATTTTCTAGGACTCGTCGAGAAACTACGTGTCGTTTTTGTATCACTGTCCTCTGTACGACTCACTGTGCGCAGCGTTCGCCTGTGCGACCGGCCGCCGTGTTATTGGCGTCGCTTGACAGCAACGACGGCGCCGGTGACGACGACGAAGACGAAGACGATGACGACGACGACGAGGACGACGACGACGACGACGTTGACAGGACGAAGACGACGGGCACGGGTGGTGTGTACCGCTGCTGTGTGCGACTGCCAATTAGCGCGACCGCGAGAAAAATTCAAAAGATCTTACGAGCTGCCCTAGAGACACTGTGATATCTTTTCTTTTCGTCATCCCCGGGATTCGTTCGGACCCGGGGCTTGCGTTTATCGGGAGCGAGCTCATCGCCCGCGATCGCTGGCGTCCCGGAGGGACGCGAACTCCTCGCGCCGCCGCCCCGCGGACTCGTCCGTCGCGTCGTCTCTCGCGGCGCGCGACTACCCTCGCTTCCGTACCGAGGATGTTACTTTGTTGTGGAAGCGAGGAGTTGAGCGGTTGGGCGAGGAGAGATACGGCGCAAAGCGAGATGCGGAGGTGACTCTCAAGCCGTTCACGACCGCTCCGACGCCTGGGAGGGACTTGGAAAATCGAGGGGCATCGATAGAAACATCGTCTCTCGAGACGTCGTCGAAAAATCGTCATTTCGTAATTTTAGAATGTCGAGTTATTTATCGACTGCAATTTACTTGCGACCAATTTGTTTCCTAATGAGCACTTCGAGTCTGGCCTATTCCGGAGCGATTGGAAAGAGCCGAAGAAAGTCGTATCCTTTGAATGCGGAGTGAGAAACTTCCTACGAAATTTAATACAAAGAGGATACAACGGGGGTGCGAATCTCACCCCCCGATCTCTTCGATCGTGAGTGAAGTAGAATGTGCGCCATTTTTACGAGCGAGCGAATTCCTTTCGACGTTCCCTCGATCCGTCCGTCCTCCAGGCCCATCTCTGCGGCAGGCTGGAGCGATTTTTTCGTTAAAATCTTCGGCATCGGGAAAATGCGGCGGAAAAGGAATACCTGCCTTCTACAAATCGCGTTGCGTAACATAAACAGTACATTAATAATAAAAACACGAGGCATCGCGACTCTCGAGATCGTCGCGATTTCTGCGCGATCTCGGAGATCTAAGATTGGGCACTCGACAACTGCGTTAAAATTAACGGCAAGGGGAGAAGTGAGAGAGATACGAGAAGATAAGGTGAGAAAGAAACACAGAGGAAAGAGAACGAAAGGGAGAACGCAAAAGAGCCATGAAAATTAGGCCTTTCCAATTAGCCGCAACTACTACGACGGTTCGATTGCGTCAGATAATTCATGTACGGTGCCTGTCGACCGCAGTAATATTCACGAACCAAAAAAAGAATCAAACTATATAATATTTTATCTTACAATACCAAGAGAGACGCAGAGAGAGATGAGAGAGAGAGAGAGAGAGGAGAGAGACGAAGAGAGAGAGAGAGAGAGAGAGAAGAGGAGAGAGGAGAGAGGAGTAGAGAAAGAGAGAGAGAGAGAGAGAGAGAGAGGAGAGAGACGAAGAGAGAGAGAGAGAGAGAGAGAGAGAGAGAGAGAGAGAGAGAGGAAGAAGAGAGAGGAGAGAGAAGAGAGAGAGAGAGAGAGAGAGAGAAGAGAGAGAGAGAGAGA